CAATTATGTCTGGATCCGCCTAGCTGCATGACTGACAGCTGGCTCTGCCTAACTAGAGGCAGAGCCAGCTGTACCCGCCCCCTCCCCCGTCCGTTCTGCCAGTCAGTGCTGGCAGATCGGAGCGGGGAGAGGGGAATCCAGCCCCTCCCCTGTCATGGCAGAGAGCCGTGACAGGATCGAGAGGCGAGCGAACCCGGTATGTGTTCGCTCACCTCCCGATCTACTGAGCCGAACTGTGACAGTCTCATTGTCACATGTCGGCTAGAACTATGAGGTAAGTGAAAAGCACTCACCTCATAGTTCTCCTTTAAAAACAGGGAGAGCCCTGCAGAGTCCAGTTTCTTAGGATAGTTAGAGATCAATCATCTGTGTCACTTAAAATAAGCTCCCGCACTTCTTGGAGCTACAGGCATTTTGCTACAGGCCCTTGCACGCTCAGGTGTGAAATGACATCATAGAAGAGAATGGCATTTCTAACATTAAGAGTTTTGTTGCTTGTAGGTGTGAATGGGGCCTGATGCTGCAGAAAATGCACTTCAACATGGTTCAAAAACTGTTTAACCTCTTGCCGTCCGCCCGTAGTAAAAAAACGGACGGACGGCACTGCAGCATCTGCGGGTTGCCGTCTCCAGACGGCAATTTTTTTTTCTGCTCGCGCGCGCCCCCTAGCGGGCACGCACGGGCAGAAAAGACCCGCTGAATGCACACACCCGTTAACATCTATACAAAAAAAACCACCATTGATGCATTTCTGCCTTAAGCTGGCCATAAATTGCTCTTTTTTTCCTAAATGAACCCACAGGCTGAACAATAAAAAAAAAAAAAATAGAGCAGATTCCTCCAACACTACGAGTGTGACGATTGAGGAATCCCGCTGTTTGCATTGCACTCTGACAGCGGCCGCTGGCCCCGTCAGAATACCCGACCAGAACCAGCAGCTCATTGGCTGCTGGCTCTGGTTGTAGGAAGATTTTCCAGCCGGCTCCTTTGGTCAGCTGATCAAGGGATGCCGGCCGAAAGTGGCGCACACACAGAGAATTTCCGCTAGCTTAATCAATAACCATATGGGCACCCTTAGTCATAGGTGACCATGCCCAGCTATGAGTAAGGCCAAATAAAGCAGAAACGTGTCAGCGGTAGTTATTTGTATAGATACATGTGGAATCGTTAGATTTTCTTTGGAAGGTCATAGTGTGCTGGTTCTACCGTTTTTAAGCCCATCACTCCAGAAGGAGGTCATCCGTGCACCGAATGAGGGTTATAAGGATGCATGACAGGGGTGAGCTGTGTGCTTTGTGTTTCTATACTTCACCATGGTGGCTGTATTAGTTTTCTTTATTTCCAGCCAAGGATGAGCAAGCTGCAATTTTTCGCAAGGCACATTGTGCCTGCGGTCCGTCTGATCAAAATAGTCTTGCAGCATTTTGATCGCACCGGACCGCAGGTACAATGCGATCCCGTGCAGGCGATCGCATTGTGGCCGGAGGGCATGGATACGGTGCCATTTACTTCAATGGCTCGCCATGCCCCCTTCTGCCCCACTAAAAAAAAAAAAGGAGCCGGCCACAATGCAAGGCAGTGCATTCTGGCCAGAATAGGGCCGGAACGCACTGCAACTGGTGTGAACGGGCCCTTAGTAAACCTGTGAAAAACTCTCAAAGTCTCAAGCTAAACATCTGGTGAAAAAAATAAAAATGTATAAGCAGAAGTTCAATTCAGTGAAAGCTGCATATCACAAGGGAAATACTTGAACTCAATTTGGAAGGGACAACACCTATCTTTGGCCATATAGTGCATTTCAATAAACCTGTGCTGATATAAATACATACAATGCTTTTGCACCTTCCAAAAATGTATGTTGCCTGGCTATAATGATGATCCAATGGCTTCTACCGTGTTTCCCCGAAAATAAGACACTGCCTTATATTTTTTTTGCCTCAAAAAAACACAAAAATCTTATTTTTTTAAATGTACAACAAACAACACTTATTCATGTGAAAAAATTTGGTAATCAGGGGTGCCGTACCTTTCCAAGTGCAATTTGTTAACCAATCGCTGGCCAGAATAGGTGAAGCGCACTTTCACTATCGATTCCTCACAGGCGGAGTGCATTTGGTATCACTCCGCCTGTGACAGGAGCCGGTGCTATAGAGCAGGCCTTCTTAAACTTTCTCCACTCATGACCCCTTTTTGACAGAGGACATTTTTAAGGGACCCCAACGGAGCGTTGGTCAGTCAGTTAGTTCTACTAAGCCTCCTCCTTACCTTTACGTCCAGCAGCTGTGCTCCACTGCTGCTGGGTTAAAGAAAGTTCAGTCAATGTACAAAAAAAGAAAAAAGCTTCCTGCGCACACGTGCTCAGGAAGGTACCAAGTGCACAAGGGGAGCCGCGACCTTAAAAACTACACTGCAAATTATACATTAAACTGAAATACTACAATCTACCTTGGAGCCCAGACCTCCTCGGCCGCCTGGACCCCTCACACAAGTACCTGCCATACCCCCTAATGGCGGTCCTGGTCGGGTACTCGGATCGCGACCCCCCTGTTCACTTGCGGGACCCCATATGGGGTCGCGACCCACACTTTAAGAAGCACTGCTATAGAGGAGGCATCGGCTTATGCAGCTCTGCTCCCTCCACTGCCGCCTCGCTTCCTCTAGCGCTGGCTTCGTTGGCACCGCTGATTCTCTGCCGTGGCTCTTCAAGTTCCCCCTTATGCCACCACCGGCCCTGGGACTGGTCACAACCAGGTCTTACCTTATTTTCAGGGTAGGTCTTATATTTTAGCAATTCCCAAAAATAGTACTAGGTCTTATTTTCAGGGTAGGTCTTATTTTCGGGGAAACAGGGTATACTGAATCATTGACTGAGAACATGTTTTCTGCTAGTGAAGTCAGAACTGATTTGTATGCATGCTGCTGATCAGCGACTTCACTGGTTATACTTGTTATTGGCCAGCCCCTAAAAATATGGGGGCCATTAGAAAAGCATACAAGCCAGGCAACTGGTATATGTAGTGGGTTAGCAAAGGCAGCCAACATTTCTCACAGCACAGGCAGGGACGGATCTACTCTCTCTGCTGCTCCAAGGCCAGGTTCCTCAATGTGCCCCCCCTACCCACCAAACCCCCTCCCCCATGGAGAATTGTTAAAAAAAAAAAAGCTCAACTTCCTAAAATGGAACTAAACCCACCGATTTAATTCCCAAAAGCAAGCTCTAGTTCGAAACGTTAAATCATTCCACCTACTAGCGTATGCGCAGTGTAGGCTACATTCAAGGCACGCCTCTAGTGCTAATGACCCAGCTCTCAACCAAACTTTCAAGCTCTCAAATAGCAGGTGACATAGCTTGTCATGTGGGCAGCACTATCTATGTAGAGGTCAAAATGGCACCATCTTTTGTGTATCATGGGGTTATTTCCACTTTAACTATCTCCTGTAAATACTCATTAATGCTCCCCTGGGCAATTGGGAACATGATATCATTGACAGGGAAGAATCAGCAAGTCCAAACTCTGATCTGCCCCTTTAATAGAGGACCAAATGACCAAAGCCTTATAGTTCAGCCATGTGGCCAACACTGTTGGAAGAAAATGCAGCTGCAGGTTCCAAAGTTAGTCAGCTTTTCTATCATTCCATCTATCCATCCCTGCCAGACCGCAAACATGAATCTAGGCTACTTTATAGCAACATGCTTTCCATAAAACTAATACAATATAGATATCCTTTCTCCAAATGACTGTGCTTAAACCTAGCAAACCTTGTGCCATAGGTGTACAATGGTGCTTTTTCATACACCAAAGCCACACGCAATGCAGTGACCATGAAGTACAAGTCTTAATGGTTCTCTATATAAAGGCAAGTAGAGCGACCATGACAATTCATATTCATATTCGGATTAATATCCTAAAAAGTGAACTTCAAACAGACAAGCCCAACACTTGTGAGACAATTTACATGTGGGTATAATTTACAATTGTGCCCACACACGATTTTTTTTTTTTTTAAATATAAATTGGTCAAAAATAACCTGTTGTATGGCCAGCTTCAGACATAGGATCCTCCTCTAATAAAGCCAAAGGCTTAGCGTAGTAACCCAGGAACCCCCAAGGTCAGTTCATTGCACGATGACCTTACCCGCATGGAGATCTACCTGTCCTGATGGAAGTCTTTTTACATACCTTGTATTATGGAACGCAAAAGCTGCTTTTCTCTTCTCCAGGGCTGTGAATTTCCGATTTGAAAATAAAAGAAGAACACGACATTGACCAAATTTGAAAAAAAGAATGACACTTGTGAGCCACCTTCAGCAGGGACACCATTTAATTGCTGGTCATCTCACTCCTATTCAATTACAAGTCTCATACCTTAGGTCACTAATTTTTTTTGCTTTTTGTTTTTTACTGTCTCAAATCAGACAAGGAAAATACTGTCAGAATAGAACATGTGAAAATTAACACTTAGTCTAAAAAAAGAATTTTGTAACAAAACAAAAAAAGAAAATAACCGGGTTTTCTTTCTGAAACATGACCATGTGGAAAAAAAAAAAAAAAAAACAATCACAAGGGGAAAAAAAAAAAAAAAAAAAAACAGAAAGGGGGGCTGGGGTGGTACAATGGGTCTGTTTAATAACAGCCGTATTTTGTTTGTTTTTTTCTTTTAAAACACAATACTGTGTGCTCAATGCAAATGGAACATCCATACTTGCACACGCATACAGGATGGATATCAATAAAGGAAATATATTAGATGGATAACATATCATCGCCATGAACAGAGCACAGGAAAAAAGCCAAAAGTAAATAATTTACATATTAGGCAACTTTTAATGCTGTAGTGCACTTATATATATATATTTATATATA